ACAAGCATTCAAAAAGGAAGCACCCGTCATAGCCCATTCATACCATCCGCCTTTGTCGGGGGTGGACGGATGAAAGTCTCACAAATACACAGCCTAGAGTAAGCAGGAACCTTCCTCACCACCTCAACCTTTGCAGGCCTCTATATTCACCAAAAAAACCAGCAAAACCCAGAGGCTAAACCAAAGTAACTTAGTGTCACTTTCAGCCATTTTGCTTCTAAGAACTCTTAATTTCTTGATCTGACACAGACAAAATGAGTAATCCTTTCTCATTTATCCATCAAAAATGGATAGTAGTCCATCAAAACGGCCATGCTTTCTGTATTCTATGTCCTCCCACAACAACATGAGCTAAATTTTTCATCTGAACTTTAATGTTAATTAATGTTAAGGTAAATGTCACTGCCATCACTGTCAATGCATTTAAGCTAAGAATGCATTGTCTTAGCTTAAACACAAGGTCTGAGAAAATGAAAGACACTTTGATGGTCAAAGTGCCATTAAAACTGGTTGCCTAAGTTAGTGACCCTTGTCCTTGGTTTCCAGGCTGAGACTGAGAAGTTACTCTCATAAGGTTCAACAATGGACAATAAAAACTCATAGACACATAAAGTAGTGCCAAGGTTCTTCTATCCTAATCAGCTGGTAGGTATAACTGAGGAGCTGCCAGTGACTAGTCCTTCACTCTAAGACCAGCCTCTGCCAGACACCTCCCTGCACAGTGCCAGACCAACTTCAGGATTGACGAAAGCCTCTTCAGCCCAAAGAACCCAACTGCCTAGATTCCTAGAACTCAGTAGCATTCATTTTCCCACAACAAACCCCAGCACTAACATAGGCATAGAGCTTGCTAAGGAGGTCCGCTCCACAAATTTTCTGTCCTGAGTGAGGACAGAAACAGTTGCATGCAGGAAATGACTGAATGCTCAGTTTTTCATTCTTGCTACACCATAATTTGTTCATTACATACAATGGATCTATTGCTGCGATAATTTTACTTTCATGCCATATTTATACGGTACATGGGTAATATGTTGGCCTCACATGGATTTCCTTATTAGCTACCCACTTAGCTCACAGTCTTGCTTTTTACAAAATATTTGTTATCACTTAAGGGCACTGGATTGAAATACATAAGATTAAGATTATCCCTCAGGGACTTGTGAAGCTTGTATTGAAGTACAGCAGGCTCAGGCATCCTCTTTTGATGTCTCAGCCTTTACATTCAGCAGGTCAATTCTTCCTGTGTGCATGCCAAGGGATAGGCAATCAACATAGGCCCATTAGCCCATAACCTCAGAACGTCTGTTTAGCACATATCCACACTGCCACAGCAAGGAGAACTGCATACATAATGGATTTGTCTTGACAGCATCCGTAGATGGTTTTGAAACATTATCTCTCCAGACAGAAAACAGAGACAGACATGCATTCCAAGCAATATTAAATGGAGCGTTGAGAATACCTGAGTAACAGCCATCTATTACACAGACTAGAGGTGAGACAGCTAATACATACTGCAAAGGGCCAAACAAAAATGTCAATGTTTCTGATCAATTATCTCTAATTTTACACATCTTCATTTGAAAAAAACAATGCATATTTCTGCTTAATTCATGCTCATGATTGTAACTATTTTGGTTTCCCCTAAATCCCACTGCATCTTTTTCTAGATTTCACTTTATAGCACACTATAAAGTGCCCTAATTTCTCATATCTGTTTTATGTTTTCAAGTACGATTTTACAAAATGTTTAAATAATATTTGATCTTTCAGAAACTGGAAAAAATACCACTAGAATAACACATTTGACAAATTTATTGCATTTTCTTCACTGCTTTCCTAGTTCAAAGTCTTTACTTGCTTTTAGCTTTTTAGTTTTAGCAACTGTTTAAATAATTTTGTGTTTAAAATCAGTGTTTAAAATAATTTCGTGCCCTCTAGTGGCAGCTCTGTCAGGCATCATCAGCTGTGACGTTCCTGAGAGAGACAATGAAAAATGTCTCTCAAATGGAAGAAAAATAATTTTTTCTCCTATTAAGGGAAATTTATTATCCATCCCTATGTTTTAAAACAATTATAGTCATCTCTAGCTATGATGAAATAGTAGCATCTGCTACAGATATAACACAAATAGCAAAAAACCCCAAAATAATCACATACTGAGTAAGCATTTCACTGAATTTGCTCTTAGATATATTGATGAAACTTATCGTATTTGTAGCCATTTCCTTGCACAAAGCACTATTCAGTGTGTTTCCTACTTGAGTATTGCTCAATATCCAGACACATGGTTTTTCCAAGGTCCATTAAAGAGTATCATCATAAACAAAATGCCACCAGAGGTTGATCTTCCTTCATGGAAAATCACTTTGCTTTTCTTAGTAAAACGGGAAAGTAATAGCATAAAAGAAAAGGAACAAAATGCAGAAGGAAAGTTTTCACACCTTCAAGAAAAAGTGAAACAGGGTGTCATAAACTTCCATTATTTTTAAATTTCAGAGCCTCTACTCATTCACTTTTGCCTTAAAAAATAGCTTAGATCCATACATTTCCCAAACATTGTTCCCAAATTTTTTATTTTAAGTTTCTACACCTGATCACCAAAAAAAATCATACTGCTTTCAAACACTCTTTTAGCATATATTCTCAAGGGTCTTGAGACACTTAACTGATATCCAGTGAGATATCCCATATACAGTCATTGGTAGCCATTTGGCTTTATCATGGCTTTCAGCTTCACCCCCCTAAATTACAGATCCCTAGAAACATATTAAATAATAGACATTTTCACAGAATCATAGGATATTAGTCTCAATAGGATCAGAATAGCATTCATTTTGCTCCTGAAAATTTGATTCCCAATGAAGATGGTAGGAATTCCAGACAAAGCAAAGCATAGTTGTTCAATATGTTCAAAAAAACTCCAAGTTGTTCAGCGAAAGCAAATCCTAAATATATCTATTTAAAACAAATCAAATAGGTCAGCATCATGTCTAGTACTGCTCACTTCATGTGAAAAAAAAAGACTATTTCAGAGAAAACAATATTAATGATAAACAACATTGACACTTAGATGAATATGACTGAAAAGTTTGAGAAAGGAGTTGGATCAGGTGCAGTCAAATAAATATAAAGCAATAAGTGGTAGAGAGAAGGCAGATCAGGAGCTAATCTTCTGTAGTTTAACCTGTGAGGATTCACAAGAGTGCACAAGATTGTCCAGATCAATGTTAGGAGTAACTTTGGAAGGAATGCAAAACCCCAATCACTTGCCTTGATCTGCAGCAGTCATAATTTGGGATGAAATCTAAGACCAAGGTTAAAGTGATGCACATCTACCTCCTGTGGGGGTTTTAGTCCTTGGTCTAGGCTGACCATGGGGGGAGGGAGGGTGGCAGGCAGCATGGTGGACCGTGGGTCAGATGCCACAGCAGTCTCTGCATTTTGCAGAAGGGACCCAGGCTTGTGTGGAAGGCAGACACTGCTGGTGCATTGGCTGCAGGGGCAGAACACTGATGGAAAAAGAGCTCTGGCTTCTAAGAGCACTGACAGATGCTGATGCAGGGCTTGAGGAGCTCCTCTGAGCCTGGTGGTGGGCAGGTGGGTGGCCATGACCAGGCCAGGTCAGGGTGTCTCTACCACCTGCCAGCTCTCTCTCTCAGGAGAGGACTGATGATTTCTGCCTTTAGTGGTGATGTTGATATTCAGAGGTGCTCTCTGAAAACTTGCTTTTGCAAATTTAGTGCTTGGGTTTGGAGATGGCAGCACAGGCGATGCAATGCAAATGTGTTCTACTGGGCTGGCCACCGAGCAGCTGGTTGTGTGGTGAACTATGTGCTTCTTTGCAGTCTACTACTGGTAGTGGGTAATTGAAACAAACTTCCATATTTAAACAATAAGAGAATTTGGGGCTATTATGCTAGACTGGGGTGAGGTGATAAATTCAAAAAATGTTGAGCAGACCAGCCAAGCAATAGGAACAGAAAAGCACTGTGATAATATGGGCACTAATTCGGGAAAAAATGAAGGTCCAAAGAAAAAAGTGACCAAAACTAAACCCCAGTAAACCAGAAAGGAAAGAAAGCAGTGGGTCTTGTAGCATGCCAGTGAATCACCCCCAGGTGAAGACAAATTATTTGACTCAAAGACATTTCAGAAGTAATATACAATCTGAACAACATGAAGAAATAAGAATATACACAAGAACTGTGTATACATCGGGATGCTGATGGCAAAACATGAAGAACTGGGGCCCACAAACTTGCACTTCTCTGAAGAACTTTTTTCTAGTTGCTCGTGAACAGGTAGAAATCTTGAGAGAAATTTGTATCCAGGGATACAGAGAGAGCTCAAAAGATGATTAACGGGACGGGATTCACGTGATTAGACAACATAGGACCAGGTGCAACAGGAGTTTTGAATGCAAACGACCACGCAGGGAAAAAAAGCACCAGGGTGGGGGGACTGAGGCTGTTCCATAAAAAACAAACATCGGTAGCGTGACCGCATTGTTCGCGAAGGCTAAAACGCACGCTTTACCAACCCTGGCATTCCTTTCCTTCGTAAGCAACAGCCCAGCCGGAGGAGAGCCTCCAGAACCAACGCGGTCTCCGGGGAGGTTCCCGGACGGACCCGGGGAAGAACTGGCGTGCCTTCGAGGACTCGGGAGGCACCGGTAGCGTTGGCGGGCGGAGAGCGGACGGGCCCCCAGGACAGCCAGCAGTGCCTGGTGTCCCTGGGTTCGCAGGGCTGTCGGGACCCTCCCCGCACCCCCCGGGCCTCGGCCAGCAGGGGGCGTGGGGCGGGACCCATCGATGGGGGCGGCCGCTCTGCGCTCGGCTACTCCGCCCTGCCGCTCGGCTCTGGATTAGCGCAACTGGCGACGTGGGACGGCCCGGCTCCGCGCCCGCCGCCGGCACCGGGAGCGGCACCGGGAGCGGCACCGGGAGCGGCACCGGGAGCGGCACCGGGAGCGGCACCGGGAGCGGGAGCCGCAGCTCGGGTGGGCAGCCCGCCGGCGGGACGCGGAGCCCAAGGGCAGCGGCGGCGCTGCTCCGGTGCCGCAGCCCCGCCGGCGCAGCGCGGTGAGGGGCCGCCGACGCCGGGAGCGCCCCGGGGGGCGGCGATGGCGCTGCGGGCGCGGGCGCTGTACGACTTCAGGTCGGAGAACCCCGGTGAGATCTCGCTGCGGGAGCACGAGGTGCTGAGCCTGTGCAGCGAGCAGGACATCGAGGGGTGGCTGGAGGGTGTGAACAGCCGCGGGGACCGCGGGCTGTTCCCGGCCTCCTACGTGCAGGTGATCCGCGCCCCTGCCGCGGAGCCGCCGCCGCCCGCCCGCTACGCGAACGTCCCCGTGGGCGGCTTCGAGCCGCTGCCGCCCCCCGCCGCCTTCAAGCCGGCGGCGCAGCAGCCCCCACCCGAGCCCTTCCCGGCGCCCCCCGCCGGGTACCCCTTCCCGCCCTACGGCGGCTCCTACCAGCCCAGCCAGGGCAGCGATGACGACTGGGACGACGACTGGGACGACAGCTCCACTGTGGCCGACGAGCCGGGCGCCCTGGGCAGCTCTTATCCCGACTACGAGGCGGCGGGCAGTGCCCCGGGCCGGTACCGCCTGTCCACCCGCTCTGAGCCGTCCCTCGGCTCCCGGGGCGGGGGACACCCCCCGGGACACCCGCACCCGCCCGGCGGCGGCGGCGCCGCCAAGAGCTCGGCCACGGTGAGCCGCAACCTGAACCGCTTCTCCACCTTCGTGAAGTCCGGCGGGGAGGCCTTCGTGCTGGGCGAGGCGTCGGGCTTCGTGAAGGACGGAGACAAACTGTGCGTGGTGCTCGGCCCGCGCGGTCCCGAGTGGCAGGAAAACCCCTACCCTTTCCAGTGCTCCATTGAGGACCCCACTAAGCAGACCAAGTTCAAGGGCATGAAAAGCTACATCGCCTACAAGCTGGTGCCCAGCCACACTGGGCAGCAGGTGCACCGCCGCTACAAGCACTTTGACTGGCTCTATGGCCGCCTGGCCGAGAAGTTCCCGGTCATCTCCGTGCCCCACCTGCCGGAGAAGCAAGCCACCGGCCGCTTCGAGGAGGACTTCATCTCCAAACGCCGCAAAGGCCTGGCCTGGTGGATGGACCACATGTGCAGCCACCCGGTGCTGGCTCAGTGCGATGCCTTCCAGCACTTCCTCACTTGTCCCAGCACAGATGAGAAGGCCTGGAAGCAAGGCAAGCGCAAGGCTGAGAAGGATGAAATGGTGGGTGCCAACTTTTTTCTGACCATCAGTGTCCCCACAGGCCCTGGTGCCAGCCTGGACTTGCAGGAGGTGGAAAGCCAGGTAGATGGCTTCAAAGCTTTCACCAAGAAGATGGACGAGAGTGCCCTACAACTTAATCACACAGCTAATGAGTTTGCTCGCAAACAAGTCACTGGTTTCAAGAAGGAATACCAGAAGGTGGGGCACTCCTTTAAGTGCCTCAGTCAGGCATTTGAGCTGGACCAGCAGGCCTTTTCGGCTGGCCTCAACCAAGCCATAGCCTTCACTGCAGAAGCCTATGATGCCATCGGGGACCTCTTTGCCGATCAGCCCCGTCAGGACCTAGATCCTGTGATGGATTTGTTGGCACTCTATCAGGGGCATTTGGCCAACTTTCCAGACATCATCCATGTCCAGAAAGGTAACACCCTTACACATTTTCTGAAATGATTTTTAAGTTTTGTGTATCAGTGGTATACGAGAGATGGCGGGACCAGGGGCTGAATTTGCCCTCTGTATGGCTTGCTGGCCTTGGGTTCAGTCTTTCAGTGTTTACTCAGGTAAACTGTTGCTAAAATTACAAAAAAGACATCAGTGACAAAATTTTTGTCATGTGCCAAAGGTCTAGACAGAGTTGGGAGTTTTGCTAGTCAGAGGTTGCTCCATTTGGCTGTGTAACTCTGAAGGAAACCACATCTACCAATACTGCTGATACATTAAAGATTAAAGAGCTTGCTTACAGAACTTGAAAATCATGAAGTGGTATGAAAACATCTATTACTCAGATGCATGTTAAATATCTTAAATCTCTGATCTAGTAGATAATAAATATGAAGTAATCTGAAGATACAGGCACTCCTCTGATTGACCACTGTTTGAGGTGTGTGCATTTTGCAGTGTCAGTTTGATGAGATGTTTAAAGCTGCTGAGGTTTTTCTGTTTGGCCAAGCATTAAACTCTCTTGGTGTCTTTGGAAGAATAATGGTCTGCCACAGTGTTCTTAATTGGAGTTGTTCAACCTTTGCCCTCATTGTCATAGCCAGATGTTGTTCAGCTGTTACCCTTTCAGCATCTTTCTAGCTGAAACATGCTTTTCAGGTTCAGATTACTTGTTATAAGGTGCTTTGTGATCCATTAGAAAAAAGGAATTCAAAAATGGAAAAAAAAAATTCTGCTATGCAACTAATGACACTTGTTCAGATAAAGAGAAGTTTGTAGCACTACGTATGTGGAAATGCTGCTGTTAAAGTAAAGATAATCATACATTCTTGACCACTGCACATGAGTCCACTGTTCATTCTTTTAGCTGCTTTTTTCCTTACCTATAGTTTTCAACTCGAAGTTCAGGAGGGGATTTGAGCTGTAAGGGAGACCAAGAAAACATATATTCGGCAGAAATGGGTATCTGTAAGTTACCTGAGAAAATACATGAGCTTTGTTGAAAATTATTTTGGAGATTAATAAGTGGCGTTCTGCACTGTGAGTGAATTGTCACCCATGGTGAAACAGTCTTGAGTTTGATAATAAAAAGGTTGGAAAAGCTTTCTCAATGAATCAAAAACACAGACTTGTGGAAGTATGCATTATCGCTGGGAGCGTATGAGGAAACAGAGTTGCTACGAAGTGCGCAATTTGCTGTTATTTAAGAAAATAACCTTTTTGTAAAAATTGTCAGATTTCCATTCTGTTATCAAATCTTGAAAATTGTGAGTGGAAACTTAAATATTCTTAATATTATTTTGAAGAGAAAAGGGAAGTGTGCAGTCTAACCTTTGAGGAGTTGCTCTGCAGGGTGCTGTGTCATAGTGTTCTGATAACAGCTTTCAAATATTTTTGATTTGGACAGAACAGTCACCTTGGAAATGCCTTGTGTTTGGGAGCAGAGCATGTTAGAGTGAGTTGTGAACTAGTAGGATTATCTCTAAGCTTCTGTACAAAAATAAAGGGACAAATTTTTTATTAGGTAGAAAAACCCCAGCAGATTATATATACTATTTAAATAATACATTCTCAAGCTTTAAGGCAATGTGGAACTCTTCACTAAAGTATTTTTGGAGATGAGACTTTGAGAGAATTGGGAATAATAAGGTATGTGCTGGAGCCATCCCTACTTTTATAGTTCTGTTTGAATTTGTGCTTTTTGGTTAGGTTTACCTTGTTGAACTGGGGAAAGTTCATGTAAATACACTTCCGCTAGACCAGTGCATGAGCATGATGTATGTAGAGTTGATTTTGGGCCATAGCACTGTCCTGGAGCAGCTTGGAGAGATGTCTGGCTGTCAGGCATGAAGCTGTTAATGCTCCAGCACCTCTGGGCTAGCACTGCCTCCAACACAATATTACCCATGGTACATACTAGCCGCTGGAAGATGGCGTGGGGTTGAAAAGTTGGTCTCTTGAGTATCCAGTTCATGATAGGAACAGGGTTAGAGATGGGTTGTGTCTTTGTTGTTGTTGTTCCTGTTATAAAACAGCAAACTAGGGGAAAACTGAGAGTTGTTTTTTGCGCACAGTATATTGCTGGTTTATTATTCTTAAGAGTTACTTTTAACAAGGTACAACTTTTCAATTTCGAGCTGTAAACTTCAGATGAAAATATGAACCGTTTGTTGTTCTTACAATATAAAAGCTTTCTTGTAAATTTATTGTCTGGGATGGCTGCCAGTTTTAAGAAATAATATTGTCTCTATATTCTATACAAATATCTGTTGGTGATAATAGATCATCTGAAAAATATAGCTGACGTCTTTCTTTAAGGTGCATTTTCTTTTCTATTGTACAACCTCACTGAGCAGTAAAATGACACAAAGTGGCTTTATAAGATGTAGAAGCAGGAGCAGCCTGATTGATACATTGTTTAGATGGCCATATCTTTAAAAAGATGGACCCTGAAGTTGGGGGTTGTGCTTTTTTTTCACTCTACACAGAGCAGATATATTGTCCACTTTGCATAAAAACCAAGATCATATTCCTGTAGACCTGAGAAAGTCTGAAAAACAAAGGCAGCTGTATCCAAAACATGCCTATGTCTGTGCCTGTAATGTTTAACTGCATTGTCTTCTTATGGCTTTGCTCTGCTGCAGTTTGTTGAACAGCTGCTGAATGTGATTTGGAAATGTGGTATGGACTGAGAAGTCTCCATGTCTGGGGTTTTGTTAAAAATTTCTGCAGCTTCTGCAAAAATAATCACAGAGGCAAAAGTTTCCCTACACGTGGGCTTTGTCTTTTTCCCTAGAATTATGCACCAAAGCCATGTAAACCTTGCTGTTGCTTCGTCTGCATGTTAGCAGGAAAATGTATTAACTGTTGTGCTTTTAACTGCTCTGGGATTCAGGTCTTTCTGCCTTCTGTGCTGAGGACATCTCACATGATCTTATTTATGTAATTTGTGTAAAACATATGAACCAATGGACTCTGAAAATATTATCAATTTTTTAATTATCTTATTAATATTGTTTGTATTTCATTAAATGGGAGTGGCTTCAGTAGGAGATTTTAAAAGATTCCTTTTCCTCTGCCTCTTGCATCTTGAGCACCCAGTGTTTAAGGAGTTTTCTGTAGGAAAGGAAGAATTAAATTTCCTGCTTCAGGAGTGACAGAGGAAGGATTTGAACATTCCTGTACCACGTGCCATATAAGGATCAACTGGTCAATGCTTTGTGAGAGACCTTACCTTGTTTTTATGTGCCTCAAGTCCAGGCCTGAAGATTCATTGTAATGATCCCCACAGCAAAGAATGTGACAAGTTGGAAATCCTACATTTGTGTCTGGAAATACTTAGTTTGAGAGTCCCACTAAGGGTGGCATAGAGCATATCAGTACCAAGGCAGTTATCCCTTACAAATAACTAGTTTTTTTATAGGTTTTGTTTGGAAAACTAAGTCATTAGGGGAAAAGCAGTATGGCACTTGTACAGTAGATGATGGCAGAGTGGTGTCTCAAGCTTCTGAATACCCAAAAACTTTTATGAGTCCAGCCCTCAACCCCCTGTAGGTAAATGCTTCCAAAGTGCTTGCATGAAAGTACTCCTGTGCGTACTGGTGGTCTTTTTGGAATGGAAGATACAAATATGTCAGACAGATATACTTGTACTCAGTTTTCTTTAGCCCCCGGCAAAACATTTGCAGAAGAGGGATATTAAGTTCCATAGCCTCAAAAGCTAAGTACACTTTTGTAATTTTCTATTGCAAAACTGGTATATTTTTCAAGAAATACTGGATTCAGTTGTTTTCATTTTGAGAAGGAAAGCAGCTTCCAAACTTCCTTTGTAGTAATACCTTCTTTTTTAAGTTTTTAATGTATACTAATGGAAATTCCCTAGGCATTCTTGGTGAAGTAATTACTATGTATTAATTGCTAGAGCTTCACCCAACTGATGATATCTTCCTACTTCAGTAATCTTCAACACAAATGCTCACTGCAGGCACATGAAAGTTCAGGTTCAGAAAATTTGTGCACTTGTGAGAACTGGAGATAGGATGTGCTAGTACTCTAGCTCATGCTTGTCTGGCTGTCTTGTCTTCGTATTTACTTAGTGAGAGTAGAGAAGTTGGGGCCATTTTGGATTTTTCTTTCAAGTTTTGTTTGAGGAATTACTATAATTAGCCTCTTGTGATTCCTGAAAGTGGAAGAAATACTGACTAACGTGATACTTTATCTCTACTTTCCAGATTTCTTCTTTCCCCAATGTTTGCAAACTTCTGGCTATGATTTTTGCAAAACAGATCTGAGAAAATGGTCTAAATATTTCTAAAGATGTAGGCAGCATTTCCATTTCCTTTGCATGGCAGGATTTAAGGGAACTATTTTTAAAAATGTCTGAATGACTCTTCTGCTTCTTGATCACTGTGAAAAGTAAAATAAGGCAGGTGGTCTTATTTACCTGAAGCAAACCTAATTCTAGACACTGGCTTTGAAGAATGCACTGGGTGTGTTTTTAGAATATGTTAAACAATTGTAGGTGAAAAATCTGTATAGCTGTAAATGCATCGAAATTTCAAGCATCACAAAACTCCAAAGAGCACTGAAACCTGGAACTCTGTAACATTTTCAGCTTTCCCCCCTTCGGGGGAAGGAGCGGTATGTGTGTTCATGAGTAAATCAGACTAGTTAATATTGACACCTAAAATTTTATATTGCACTGTAAATGCAGTGCTTTTCTCTCATGCTTATTTCCTAATCTCTTCAATTTGTTATGCAGACATATTTTTTCCATCCGTTTTTCACTTTACTCACCTTTGGAGGTTTTTTCCCCTCCTCTGTCTCTCAGATGCATACACTTTGCATGGGGTTCAGCCCAGGTAGCTGCTGGGTAGGAGCTGGGCATGTAATCCTAGCCAGATGACTCTTACAACAGTAAAAAGAGATGGGTGTGTGTACTTCATCTGTTTAAGGGCTTTGGTGAGAAAGGATGATCTGCTC